CTATGCCAAATAAAATCTTGACTATATGATTGGCTTTCCTTTTCTGTATCAATTTTAATCAGCACGAACAAGACAAATCTATGAAACAACTTGAACATAACAATTTTCACCATCTATTTTCAAGGTTCCTTTTCAATTTGCTAAATGCCAAATGTTACAGTTATAAATAGACTTATAAACAGTAATTACAGTACAGATGTTCTATTCATTTCATATAAGCAGATCTAGAACTGAATACTGCCACTAGGGTAATCAAACTTGGTATTCTGCACATAACCAATATACAAGAAGGTACTTGTTTTCTTTCTGGAATATATTCATGTTAGAGAGGTTGATTAGCAATGAGTAGAAAGGATGTGTTTTTGAGAAAGAAAACACTGAGTGATAGAGCAACAGAGACTTTATAATAAACAGGATAGGGTTGGTAAATCCAAGGACTTGGGGAGCATAGACAACAGTTATTCGTGTGGATAGATGTAAAAATAGCTTTCTGCCAAGGGTGAAACTTTGAACCAGATTTCTCATAAAAGACAATATGGTGATGTATTTTTACATGGTACAATCTGTAATACATGTGCTAACAGTGCAAACAGACTGGTGGTGATGGGAGGTGATTTCTCAAAACTTAAACAAGTTAAGGTTTTTTTCTTTCATTAAGAATTATTGGCTCTTAAAAATCACATTAATTTCCAATGGAGTTGAATGGAATTTGTTTAATATAAATTCCAATGGTAGAGCTGAGCTGAAATGTTTATCAATCTTTACAAAAATCTTATTTGGGAGAAGAAAAAAGGAAAGCTTTTGTATAGAGGCCCCTAGAAATGCATAATAATTTTCATGTTTCAAAAAAGTATGTCCAGTTGATTGAATTTTGTGACGTTAATTCACTGCTTGACAGTTGTGCATAAAAAAGATGTATGATATCAATAAGAAAGCAGGACAATAATAGCAAAACAAATTGACATTATCCTAAAAGTACCTGTGATCAATTAGTATATGAATTAGGAAAAGTGTCTGGTACCTGTATGCTTAGAACAAAACAGTAATTGCAATGTTTTGACCCACAATCTCTTAATTGTAGCATTAGAGTTAGATTTCAGGAATATCACTCACTGAAATGAGTTTCCTTATAATGGTGAAAAAATTGTGTATGGATCATTTAATTATGATAGATTTCAACACAGCACTATCAGAATATTTATTCCATGCATCTAACACTTCAGATAAAAATGTATGTAGGTTTTGCAGTTTCCCCTTCATGCCTTTTAAAAGACTATTCTGAATTTTTGGTTGAACTCAAATCAAAGGTTATAGAGTACAGCTATAGCTGTGGAATCAGCCCAGATACAAAGCTAAAATAGCTGAATAAGTTAAATAAATAAATTTAAAATAAAATGAATTAAAATAAAATGTGCTAACATGTGAAGTGAATACAAAGCATATATTTGTCCAGAGTGCTTGTCAAAAAACTGGATTTTAAGAAACAAGATTTGTTCCCTAATTAATTTTACACATATTTGTTCTAAAAAAGCATGTAAAATCAAGGACAGATGCCTAAGTTCAGAACAATAATAAGTGATTATATAAGATCAGAATGACAAAGGGTAATATAAATATTATTATGTGTCAAATATTGCAAAGAGAACAGTGGCTCATATGGGAATGATGCGTCATATCATTACTAAACATATTTGAAGTCTACTCTTAATAGAAGAACAAGTATTTTATAAATACAATTGTACAACTGTTACTGATATATTTATCTGGGCATACATTTCATTTGAATGGCTGAGTGGATCAGTGATTGGTTGCTGATAAAAATCAGGAGTTGGGGGTTGGGTTTACGTAAAAGAGATTTCTTGGTGACATTCACTTTGCATCATCCGTGTGGATGACAATCTGCAATGGTCACTGAGGTCAAGTAGTCCAGAATTGCATGTAAAAATTGTGCACATGTTTTCTGATTATTTGGTTAAAAAGCCCTAGTTTATTTTTCATGTATATCTTGCTTTTAGTCTAAGGAGCTTCCCATTGTAAATATATTTGAATCCTGAAATCTTTAATAATATCATGCTGACTTCTAACAGCAGTGTAATTAGGATAACAGTAGCCAGATGCTGTTGAACAGATTTTTTTGATTTTTTTTTCATCTTCTGTCTGACAGGTGCAATTTAAAGCTTAAGTTCTTGGCTCATGTGTAGCAATTTGCACTAAAAACACCCTCTTGAACTTACTCAGTTCAGTAGAAAAAGCATCTGGTATGATTTTTAATTAAAAATTATATTTGCTGATGTTGGATTTATGATGATATGCATCAGTGGTCAGGCATAGTCAGTTATCTATACTTTGGCTGCTAAGGATAGCAAGCTGTGCTAAATTATGAACTGGTGATAAGGGTGTGTGGAGTAGAAATGGAAAGCCTTTAAAAAGGGCAATAAATAAAGATCTGCAGAGTGTGAAAGGGGATGGAAGGGGAGAAAATCAAGGCATTGATTGATGATTGATTGATTATGGGCCATCAAGTCATTGTCAACTTTAGCTGCCACATTGATTTCTTTCATGACCATCTATTCCTAAATTGGAACAATTTTCCAAAACTGCTCATCGCTGCTATAACTGAGTTTATTATCTTGTTCTTGATGTTTCTTTCCTTCCACCTTTCCCATCCCACTCTTTGCATGAGGTACTCCAGTAAGATAATTGGAGCCTGTTCGTTTGTGCTCCAAGTGAGAACTCTGGATTGATTTGTTCATGCTTTTTTTTTTTTTTTTTACTGTTCATTACATTCTCAGTA